TTTCTATTCATTTCATGTTTAGTCATGTTCTTATAATATCTTTATTTTACGTTTGTTGTAGAATGTATTAGTTTAATTTAGTTATAGTTCAATAGAAATATATGAAGTTTCCAGGAGGAGGAGTGAACGATTAAGTTTTTCAAAATGTAGACCAAGTCCTATTCTTGAACCGATAAGAGTAGAATAAAACATTATTATTATAACACTATAGACTACAGATTCGATGTGGTGAACGTGATGTATGAGTGAAAATGCTTGAATGATAAAAGAAATTTGTTTCCTTAACCGACGACTATCTACATATGTACATATGTGTTATTTTGTAGTCGAAAGATAAGAATGAAACTGCAGTTTGCAATCTACGATGTTAACCACCTCTTGGAAAACAATCAAAGTCCACGACTGACCTTTTTCAGGAGCCGATATCCCACTGATAGCTACAGAAGTTAATGGCCTGACCCTTGATGCCTTATCAGAAGACAATAACAGCCGACGCGATAACGTGAAATATATGTATAATTAAATATACACCGATTAGCCGTCCTTTCCCTCGACCAAGGCTGAATTTCGATATTGCTTCCATTGTCTCCTGATTGCACGTTCTCACTGTTTAGTTTATTCGGTGCACCGAAAATAAACATAATTTATGTCAATGGAAGATAGACGAGCTGCACAATCTTCGTATTGTCAATCGGAGAGGCAAACAATTATGAAAACTGATGTTGAATTCTTAAGAACAGAATTCAAAGATATGAATTAATCCATGGATTCGATGTTTCATGGAAAAGATTAGAATTTCAGAATTCTAGTTAAAGCGAATTTTCTCGTTTGCCCGACCTGAAAGGAAGGAAGAACGGCGCCGCGGCCTGACCTTCCTCAGGGTGCAACGTCCTGGCGATAGGACCAAAATAAAAGTCTGATAATGACGTGGAACGACCCCGGCCCTCGCCGACAGTGACAAGGATAATATATCGTACTGTGCTACTGCGCGTATCTACGCTTCGCGGAGTTCGAGAATTCGCCGCCGCTTTACGCGAACGGTTTATCAGTTTTGCTGTCGCGCGAGATGAGCAGTCAAGGACGTGGACCTCGTTTGAATATGAATTGCGCCAATTAGGCTCACCTTTATTCCCGGCGCGTCTGTTTGTTCGCTGATTGGTCAGGATTGCACGGCACCGTTCGCGCGGTTTAAGTCCCGAGACGGTTCAATTCTGACTCGAGGTCAGGTCAGATCTTGAAGGGTGACCGAGATCGCTCGCTCTCGCTGATAATTGAACGCCGAGATAAAGCCTCTCCTTCCCATATTTTTTTTTTTTATTTCGTTCTCTCTTTTGCTCCCGACAGTCCAGTTCGTCGAACCCGATCGATAACGAATTCAATTGACGCGAGACTCGTAGAAACAATGCCGGTAAAACAAAAAATAATAATTAATTCCTTGGCTATAGCCAGATTTTAAAATGTAAAAATGTTGCCACGTCGCGTAAGCCGTGGCAGCGATTAAAAAAGTGCCACGCGATTGTTCGGCGCGAAAATGAGAACGGATGTCTCGGCTCGGGGACGAACGTTCAGCCATTACGTCGAGTTCGGTTACGTAACGAGATTGAGACTCCAACACTTTTCGCGGGTAAACATCACCGCCGCTTGAACGCGTCCGTTTTTTCGAATCGATCTTCCGTGTTTGATCACGCAAAGGTCGGGGGAATTAAGCGCGAGCCTCCACGCGGTATTTTAAAGCGTGTTTATCGAATTCTTTCCGCATACGTAGAACGTAGTTTGCGTAGACTCGTTAAAACATCGAGGTCTCGCCGAAGGTCTCTACGTTTTCCGGCGCACAATCCCAGAACAAACAGATTCCACAACTGTTGATGACTAAATGTACCCAACCCTATCGTTAATTGCGCACAATGGGAGTCTGATTAAAAATTTAATCTGTGCCGTAATTGATAGAGAATGTCGCGGCAAGAGTGCAGCTCTATTTCTCGTAGTTTCTTAATACCTTAAGCGGCCTGTCACTCCAGTCAGTCACCGGTGACTGACAGTATATTTTTCGTTCAGGTTACATCAGTTGTCACTGTTGACTTATACGTACATAATTTAAAAAATTTTAGTAAATATTAAAACACTTAGTGACTAATAAAATAATTAACGATTAAACTAAATCTTGGCGCATAATGTATTAATTTTTATTGTTTCTTAATTATTACTTCATTTACGACTATAAACACTTTAGAATACACAAAGGAAGACCAATGAAGTGTGACAAACTGAAGACACTAATAATAGATGACACAAATTAATATAAAGTTAAAAATAAAACAAGTAACAAGAACATAAAAAACAATTAATTGGATAAGAAAAAAGAGAAAATAAATAACATTCTGTGAAGATAACACAGTGAACTGATGAACCTGAACTAAAAATAAGCTTGATGTCTTTAAGTATAAGGAATGGGACAGAAAGAAATTTTAATCATACAGAGGAATGACGAAAAATAAAAGTAATTAGAGATAGAACACTCACGTATGTACATACATAAATATGTATGTATTATTTTAATTTTAAGCCAGAGCAATCATTTCATGAACAATTTATTATAATTTACTCGCTGAACTGCATTCCTCGTATAGATTAAACATTCCAACAGAAGGAAGGTACTCTATCCTTGATTTTGCTACTCCCGGAGGAAATTGCGGTTTGTCGAAGCGCGATTGCCGTTCCCATCGCGGATGCATCTTAACGCTGGTGAAACGTGACACAGGACATTGCGGCCATCCCCGACAACCTTCCCTGCATAAACACAGTTCCACCGGAAGTCACGTGGCTATCTTCCCGTTCTCGTTATCGGGATCGTATCGAACGAGGATAAAGTAAAACAAAAATAATAAAAGCTTCCGTGATTTCCGTGCTAAAGTATTCATTAATTTCACACATTCGTTAATTCTTAACAGTAGAGCTACCAACTTTTTTATGTTATAATTTCTCGATTAAAAGCCAGCCATTTTTACTAGTCTGGCAGTTCTAGTATTAATTCTGATTCGACTATCAATTTCATGATATCTTAAAACATGATTGTACGCATAACATGCAATAAACAGAGTGACAATCCTTTTGCAAATGCAGAATGTTAAGTAAATGTCATACAAGAAATCTCTCATCAACTGACGTAGAGTAAATATTTTTCAATTACCGATAAAAAGAATGTGACGTGACTAAGGTCAGCCTGATTGTCAACTAGAAGATCCGTTATGTTATAGCATAGCGATATTCGCATACAATGCGAAGCACGATTTCCAGATATCGATCGTGTCATTCTCTATTCAATTCCGTGTCCTTCGAGATCTGGATGGAGATACTGAAATATCCTCCACCCAGCTACACGTATTTCACCGCTTACCAATTACCAATTATTCTAGACTTGTTAATCACAAATGATAAATATTACAATTTTTATCAGTCTTAAGCTCCAAGATGGACGAAGGATAACAAATAATTCTTTGACGATTATGAATTTTAATGCAAGATAAAACAGCGTAATTAAAATGTATTTTAACGTCTTCCACCAATTATTCTAGTTTCGTTAATCACAAATGATAAATAATACAATTTTTATATCTTCAATTTTAAGATGTATGTAAAGATAACAGATAATTCTTTGACGACTACGAATTTGGACACAAGACAAAATTGTGAAATCCAAATGTATTTCATCGATTTCTACCGATTATTCTAGTTTTGTTAATCACAAATGATAAATAATACAATTTCGTTTTCGTTTTATATCTTCAATTTTAGGATGTATGTAAAGACAATAGATAATTATTTAACGACTACGAATTTTGATGCACGATAAAACTGTTAAATCTAAATATATCTAACCGAGTTCCACCTTATATATGTATATTAGTTATACGTAATTATAAATATTACAATCCTGATACATCTTTAATTTCAAGATACGTGAAAGTGAAATAGATAATTCGAGATTAAATATATTTGATGACTGCGGACTTGTATGCGAATCGATTTTTCTCCTAACGTTTAAACCCAATGTTGAATACAGTTGACGTTATGCACATTGGAAATCTCTCTTTAAATGCAGAAACAATGACAAGCGATCGCGGTAACCTTTCGTAATTGAAATCAGTAAACCACGAGGCAATGTCGTAAGTTATGATAATAAAATCTTAATTGATCTTTCGTCTAACATCCGAAACTGACGATGTTTTAAACATTCGGCGTTCCGCAGATTGCAAATTTCATCAATGAATGCATGAAATTCGCAATGAACGATGACAAGCGATCGGTGTAACCTTTCGTAATTGAAATCGGTAAATCGCGAGACGGTGTCGCAAGTTATGATAATGAAAAGTAGAAGGAAGCGAAAGTGCGGCGCGAGCGATCACGGATGAATAATTAGCTCGCGTCGTCATTGAGGAAAACGGGCAGGACTTGAAGGCCGATGAAGGACACCTCTCACGCAGGTGAGAGGATAGCGGTACCCGCGATACGTCACGGCGACCTCCTGATTCCTCGATCGATCATTTTTTTCTCTTCCTACCGAGAAACTAGAACTAACGTCATAGACATTTTTCCACTACCTTCGTTTCTGCTCACGTAAGTGCACCTTTAACTGTTTCCATTGTAAATACTAACTTGCTTTCATCCACGTATAAAAAAATTAAATTAATGTAATATATAAATATTGCATATAATGGCGATAGTTGAAATATTTCAATACTTGATTAATAAAAGAAATTACTATATAAAATGATTTTAAAACAAATATCATTTTGTTACTTTTTATTAGGGTTGCAGATAAATGATTAAATCTTTAATTCAATTGAACAACAATTGATTTNTGAGGACATATTTCAATACTTGATTAATAAAAGAAATTGCTATATACGTCTGAAACTGATGTAACTATAAGTTCACTTTTCATAAAGATCCGCAGTCATAATCCATAAATGACAGGCGGATTAAACAAAAAAGCAGATGATTCTAACGAGGAATGTTACCGTGAACACGGCTTCGAATCGGTGGAAGGCCGTTGCATATAAAGGCTCGGTTTCGCTCATTCACGCGTGCCGCAACCGTATAATAACGGATCCCGCGAGAGAGTATTTATGCGATCCGACAATCGGGATTACGTAACGAAAGTGTAGAGAACTGGAATAGCGGGAACTGGTTGGTCCCTGTGCGATAATTACTCCGCGCCGGCTTTAATCGGTCGACGTACGTGTCCTTCGGGGCAAAAGTGGCCTTAAAGAGAAACCCGGGAGGGAACGATCCTTGCCGATGATGGCGTCATTATGTACACGCAGTCGAAGGTAACGAAACGATGAAGGCCCGTTTCTCATCCTGCTCCCGCGATTAGGCTGGAACTGACCAACGGTTTCACTACTTCACACTTCACGTAGCTCTACTGACGTGCAAAATATTGAAGCTATTAACTTGATATGATATAAACATTTCAGATTGAATGAGCTTTTGCAATTAACCCATTTGCATCATAAGGAAATATGGAAAATAAAGCCCTTTTGCGTAAATCTTTGTTTAATTATATTTATATAGAAAGAAAAATTACAAGTAAAAAGAACTTCATATTTCTTTTTTTAGATCTTTCGTTAAATGGTTTCAGACAAACGATTAATCTATAATTCAATTGAACGCCAATTGGCAATTAATGTTTGATTTTTTATTAGGATTTGATTAATTAAAAGTTAAAATGATTTAATTATCTTAATTGGAAGAACTAAATTTTAAGTCTTAATTAAGGACTACTCTAATCGTCGATTGGGATTTAGAGTAATCGAATAATCGTTAATTGTTAATGTGACAATTAAAAAAATCTGCAAGCCTGCTTCCGACTTCTGTTAGCAGAGGAGATGTCTTTTTACTAGGCGCGAACAAACGATAAAGACTTTCCATGCTTCTCATCTCGCTGCAAAAATTAGACTAGAACTGTCCAACAGATTAACTACAAATGTTGAAAGTACGAACTCGATATAATACAAGAATTTAAAATTGAATGAACCTGGTTTTTGTCATTAACACCAAAAAACACGACTACTGCAGTTTTGTCCTATCATTGTAATAAAGCAAAAATAAGGCAATAACAAGATACGTATAAACTTCCGACTCCTGTTGGCAGGAAGGATATTTTTTACCTCCGTGCGAACGAGTACTTGACGTATATAATTGACAAGACAAATGGGAATCGACTCGGGGATAACTTCTACTCTGAGATTTGACTGACTGCCACCACGTGTCCTCACCACATTTGTTTATCTACCTGCGACAATCGCGTTAATACCACTGAGCGGCGATCATTGTGCATTAAACCAAGCGAATATCTCACCGTATCCAGGCCCGGCTGTCCCGAGCGAACAGAATGCGTGGCATTGTGCGCGACAAAAGGCCTCGTAGGACCTTCGGCCTATACAAACGAGCAGATGTCCTCCGACAACGCAAATCGTCTTCGTCCCAGTTACCCAAGCTACTAATGGGAACTTCGCGTTCACTATTCTAATTACCATTCAATTTTCCAACAAATTGCAAAAAGGCAACACTTTTCCAAGATTCTTTCCTCACGAGTTGTACCGATTATCATGAAAGTGTAACGCAAGAAGTTCTTTTGTAATATAAATCTACATGATAGAAATGAAGATCTTCATTCCTTTAGAATTCTCTTTCCAATTCTCTTCAGTTTCTTTGCCAATTCTCTTTATGAAGGTAAATGCCACAAGTTCTAGTTCTAAGTTCTACTCAATAGCTTATTTCTCTATAACTTTATATGTTATCTAAACTTATAGAAAAACAAGCCAGTAAGTAGAAATTGGAACATGAACAGAAATTAAGAAATTTACCTTGACTATAATTTCTCCGCATTTTCTTTGTCAATTCTCTAAGGTGAATGTCCCAATTTCTGATCACGTCCTAAGTTCTGTTCACTAGTTTACTTTCCTATAATTTCATGTTATCTAATATTATAGAAAAGTAAGCCAGTGAGTAGAAATTGGAACATGAACCAAAATTGGGATACTTACCTTAACTATAATTCAATCTATGAATATACCTACTTCGTTTCAAAACCTATTCACCATATTATACATATTCTTATTAGGTTGCACATTTTTATAGAGAACACTTCTATCAGTTAAAAGAACAAATTCACTTTCATCATTCAGTTTTTCTATGACCTCTGCATATTGAATTAATCCCTGTGAATCGATCTATCACCCACGTGAATCGATTACATTATAAAAACGAATATTTAATTAAAATACATCGAGAAGAATGAAAGCTATAATATCAGAATAGTGACGTTACACGGATGTAGATACAACGGCGACGAGGTTGGCTCGAGCCGTTGAACGAAGTGCGTAGACAAAGAAGTAGGAGGCGAGGCCTTCGTAACACGTGTGTTACTGCCTTTAACGTTATGGGGAAACATAAATAAAGTCAGGGTCGAGTGACCACGCGTCATCGTCCCTCGGTGGCATACTCCCAGCCCTGTCCCGCCCAGTAAATGATGGTTATTCACAAACCATCAGGCGCGAAGAAAGTTTTGCCGTTTGATTCGAACGGACTACTACAAAAAATAGTCAGACGTTTTCGTTACTATTTTCTTTTCAAATTCTATTACAACAAGTAAAAGTTTTTTTTTCATTTCAATTCTTGTATTAAATATTATAAGTTTTCTATTTTTTGCTAATGTAATAATTGAAACGAAATCTGCGAACTGCTCGTAATTAAACGGTTGAAGAGGCGCCTGGCAGTCGATGCCAGGTACACGCGTCTGGCCTCATTGACGAGGGAATCGAAGCGTTTGAGGACACCGAGCTATCGGTTGACATCCAGTCGAACGCACATACATAATGCGTTCCATTGAACGTAATCAACTAGGAAACGGTTCGCGTGAAGCCTTGGGAACAGACCTTGACTCACGTACTTAGGAAAGACGGTCCGTCGTGTGCGCGCTCGGCCTCACACGTGCGCGCCTCGTGTAACCGCGAAACAAATTTCCAGAACCGCGTACGTACAGTTTATGTATACATGCGAGGATCGCATGAATATGAATTTTTTGTCGTGTCCAGACGAAAGTGCATTCGTCGATGCGTCGTTTAAATTACCATCGATGAATTATTTATTCCATTCGCGGCGATCGATTGGGTAACGTAATCTGAATAATGCAAGATAATGTTGGGAAAACAAGATGCCGTGTAACGCTTCGTTGATCCTCTAATATCGATATTAATTCACTTGTAATAATATTCATATTAGACAACACATTGACGTATCAGACGTCTGATTTATTTAGACAGATTCTAACAACCTGTAACAAGAATTAAGAAACAGTAGAACCAATCTATTATCATCAATAATGAGATGTAAATTTTTGATATAACATTCTAAAATGTAATAAATTGCAGCATAAATTCGAGGTTGAATGACGTAAATACGATGGATACATTTGGCCGTTAATAATTCCCATCGGGATCACGTAACGTTTGATGAATCCGAAATCAGGGTCGTATATTATAATAATAATAATTATCATTTCACAGTTGACGCGAAACTAGTGTGCCGTAGACAATAGAATTATTTCGGTCGGCGCGGAGTTAAACGCCGCCGGTTCAAATATAACTCTGACTCGACGTATCGGACGCGCATTGTCTAAAACGAGTTCCCCAATAAACTACTTCCTTCGTAGAACTTCCTTGAGCTTTTCTGTTACGACAGAGAGAACCATCGACCACCGATCACAATGGAATGCGTCGTCTTCGATCCCATGACGTCACTAGATCTTTGCATTTGTAATACCGCTGGAAATATCGGCTTACGTTCCCCGGAAGAACAGGTATTTTTGCGGTACGTGCCTCGAATCCCCGCGAGTCACTACCTACTGTACCGTGATTACAATTCCCTCCGGCCGAGAAAGCCAACACAACTATCGTTGAAAATATCAGTCTTATAGAAATGATTTGTAACTTATGACTCAAGAATTCAAATATACACAAAACGGGAGGGCACTCAATTTTTATATTCCTGTGAACTCATTCTGTATATAATTTAACATCAGCAACAACAATTGAGAAACTTTCGCTACTACGGGTGACTATAGTCACCCGGTACAAAATTTAGTATTTAAACTGGGTCTGCATTTTCGATCTTACTTCATTCAGTTTCACATAAATACATTGCTATGAATAAAAATTATATTATGTTACAATAATTGATGAAAATTAAACATGAGACTTATTAAGATATTTAATGTTAACAAAGGTCCTTCTGACCGAGTTTGAATAATATTCGCGCGGTGTACATGAAAACAGAGAGCGACAAAGCTTTCTCTGTTCTCTACTAGGAAGTCTCGAGAGGAGATTTATCACCGTCGCGTTCCGCGAAAGTAATATATAATAATTTCCCCGGGACGCACAAAAGGTTTCGATGTCTCACCTACGCGAAAAGGATTTCACCGATTAAGGAGGGCGAAAGGTGAGGAAGAGGAGGAGGAAGAGCGTGCACGTTCACTTTCTCGCTTGGATGGAGCGAACTGTGTCGCCTGGAAACCAGGTCGTCGGGAATATCGCAGAGAAAGTGAGAGTATGCGATCAACAAACACCTCCCGTGATCCTTGATGCAGCTGCTATCTAAAACGATCCGCAGAATCGTCATCCGACCCGATCCTCCTCACCAGATGGCAGCACCTCTTAGACGATTTCAAGTAATCCTTGATTGGATTTTATGCATTTAAACCAAAAGTTATTATGCACATAATTTATATAAAACGCATTTAATACTGATAAGGATATCTTCATGTCTGACTTATATTTATTTTTTAACCTGATAGTAAAAATTGTATTATGCCCATCAATTATGTACACGAATAACTGAAATACTGATTATTACAAAGAGATAAATGAATAAATAAGTTAGAACAATTTCTATCGACCCGATTCGCAACAACGACACGTTGCTAAACGTGGAAACTAGTTCGATCGATTTTAAAAACAAACAGAACGCTGTTTCGAAACATCTTACGGGGAAACTTTTACCGAGTATCGCCGGCGAAAGCGAACGACCGTGTAATCGACGACGAATTTCAATAGCGTATCATACCACAAACTTTCCCATACAGACACGCGCGGGTACAGAATGGTGCAAAACCGTTCTGTGTCGACGACAGATAAGAGTCTCGCATAATCAATCAGCTACAAAATTTACCAGGTCCTTTACAAAGTATCAGATAATACATAGAAATAAAAATGTGTATGAAATGTTTGACATAATATTTTTCTTATGCACGATTGCAACATATCTTGGCGCTAAAACTACCAAACCAGTCAAAGTGACGGATTTATAATGAAGAAATGAATATACAAAAAAAAATCAGT